TCAGAGACGAGGGAACAAGCTTAAACAAAATAATCACACGATAGAAAGGATATGAGGAACAGGTTTGGTGCGAGCAGGATGAGAGCTTGTAGATTTTATGTAATAGAACCTAAACTATAGTATGTCTGCTTATGTGATATCATCTGTGCTCTTTTCACGTTGCTTAGTCTTATTTATATGAAGTGTAAAATTAACCATTTCATTACTTGAATTTTATAGTTATTATTAACAAAAAGATTTTGTATAGCGCAATCTGGGTGGTAAGTTTATGCCATTTTGGCAGTTTTCGCTGGCAGCACAGCATAGAATTATATCACTTCTACCAAATCTTCCTTTAAGCAACCATATTTCAGTTAAAGTTGCAAGTTGTAATTTGTAGTTGCAAGTTGTAATTTTTACAAGCACTTTGACCTTTTCTTTTAGAAAAATCACTTTATTGTTGTTGATGTTGCTGTTCATTTACGTCGTACTAGAGCTGCACAATGGGCTATAGGCGACGGTCTGGGAAACATCCCTGAGGATGATCCGAAGACATGCCATCTCAATTTTGATCCCCGCTTCGGTAGCCCGACGACCTGCACGCGAAGTCGAGCACTTCACGATAGAACAGTTTAAAGAGGACCCATACCGCACACCCTCGGTCCCTACGCAGGCTGATTCAAGTGGTCACCCACCCGCACACTGACCGTAGCCAGTGATGCTTGACTTCGGTGATCTGCTGGGAACCGTGTCTTAACGATCAGTCCACTGTGGGACAAAAATCTCTTTAACTTTAATCCATAATATCATTATCCCTTACCTCAATGAGGTGAAATTTTCGGTAATCTCATTTATAAAGTAGGTGTTAAAAATGAACCATGTTTCCGTTTTAGTTGAATCACAGTATCAAGTACTAAAACAATGTGGATTTTGTGTAATTTTTACAACACAATGTCATTAAAACAATGTGTAATTTTTGCAAGCACTTTGACCTATTCTTTTATAAAAATCACTTTAACTTTAATCCATAATATCATTATCCCGAACCTCAATGAGGTGAAGTTTTAGGTAATCTTATTTATAAAGTAGGTGTTAAATTGAACCATGTCTCCGTTTTAGTTGAATCATAGTATCAAATACAAAAACAATGTGGATCAATTTATGCACTGTTAAGATTACAGTAAATTTAAACAATAATATGGTTCAATAAACTTCAAATTAACAGTGTTGCCACTGATGGAACAAGAATGAACAAAGGTGAACTATCCTTAACTTTGGGTAATATCTATCCTCCCATCGGAGAACTGAAAAAAAAGAGATGAAACGAATTTTTGAAACAAAATGGTAGTATATCATGTGACTGAGCCCTTCCTTTCACAGGGAGCGTCCAAAGTTGTATCCGTGTATCTTGTATCCATCATTAGAGTATAAAACAAAAGAGGGCACGACTTGTTGACGTAAGGAGTAAATTACTATTAAATTTCTGTTTTTCAATACATTGAATACTGATGGGTAATATCTCCAATGTTGCATCAAATGACAGTATTTAATTACCCAATATATTTTTAATGTAAAAAAAAAACTTTTAAAATGAAAGGCAAAAACAATTTCTAATTTCAGAATATAAAAGGTTTCTTGTTTTCTTGAAAATCTCCATGAATCATTATGCATCAATTTGCTTTAGAAATTTTCAACAAACGTGTTCGACTATGGTGATACATTACAACACTTGTTACGTTTCAACGTAACATGTCTTAACACCATTGTGTTATATCGTGAAGGGAAGGAATTATTTTTTGTTGCATCACATATTGGTGCTGAACTTTATATTGCTACATCACGTGATGGTGTTGTGCTATTCTTTGTTGCATCGCATGAAGATGATTTACAATCCATTGTTGCATCATGTGACGGTGTTGAATTATTTTTAAAGTGTGAACTGGTGGTGTTGAACTATGCATTGTTGTTTTAATCTGGTAAGAAGTGTGAGAGAAGAAGAGCAAAATGTTTTCTTATTTCTTTACTGAAAATGGTTTTTCTTTTCTTGAAGATTTCTAGAGGATTTTTTTTTAATTTTATAATCATCGTTAAACAACTGACCCAATCTTGGGTTTACGAATATCAATGTTTAACTCCATAGCCTTGTAATTTTGAACCCAATAATAAAGACATGCGGACTCCTGAATCAAGCAGTGGGAGAAATCTACCTTCGCGGGGAACTCTTTGATGGAACTTACCTGCATTTGACACTAAATGAGAGGAAAAACCATGTAAACCTCTCATGGTAAGCATTACAGTTAGAATACTCTAATCAACACTTCGTAGAGGAAAGAAGGCCTCATCCGTAACCTCCGAGAAAGGAAGAAGGCCATGACAGCTGCGAGTGACTCATACCTAGCCGTCCGACGGGAAGCATAGCTAGAAGACGGTGATAGCGGAGGAATGTAAAAGGGAAAAATAAGGATCGCTTCGTTAAGCCATAATTCTGACAATTATATTAAATTAAACATCACTTATTTAAAAAAAAACTAAATTCAGTTTTTAAAAACATTCGGAAATCGAATTTTTTTTAGAAATTCTTTTCAAAGATTATGAATTGACCTGTATAATATCATACATTGGGAAAAAAGAAAGAAACACTGCGGATTTTTAACAGATAATTAAATATGCAATAAAATATTTTTCAATAAGATTGAAAGAATTTATTACTTGAATTAAATTAAAAACATGATTATTTTAAAATGCTTTATCATTGGAAACTAAATTTTAAAAATAATTACAAATTGCTGTAATATAAAGTTAAATATCTATTTGAAAAAAAGAATGTATCATATACATATGTTAATTATTGTATTAATTAAAATAAAAAGTCAAGGAATACTATCAACCTAAAAGGAAATAATCCAATAGATTTTTATAAAATTTGAATTTATATTATTTCAAACTATCTAAAATGTATGAGATTTTAGGGATTTCTATTATGTGAATAAAATAAGAAGAAAAAAAAAACTGTAGATTTAAATTGACTGCAATACTTAATAATTCATAAATGTTTTTTAATGTTTATTCTATTTTTGAGTTTAGAATTTGTTTTAGCAAGAGATATTGAATTAATTTTAGACTGTAAGATATTATTTAATTTGAAAAATAAAGCACTATATAATACTTCATATAGAAATAACTTGTTTACATACTCAAGCAAGCAAAAAACTTAATAAAACATATATCTTGCATTGGAAAATGTCCAAATTTTAAAAAACTTTCTAAAACATAGAAGAAACCAATATAATTTTTAGAAAGCCAGAAAATCAAGAGAAATTTGCAAAATCCAGTACAGTTCACATCTATGACGCTACTATTACTGTACAGGAAGAAAGCTACTAAAGATTAATATTCAGAGTTAAAATTCAAATAAATTAGATTCACATAGAAAGAAATTTGATTTCTAAGTTAGTGTTATTTATATTAATTTTGTGTTCAATTTTATTTCAAAATTTTTATTTGCTCTAATGCGTTATCACAATCATATTAAAATTTTGCGTTAAATATGGTTTAATAAATCATTAATATCAGGTAACTTTATTACTCGGTGACAGTTTATGAAGGGAAATTTATTAAAACAAAATAAACAGAAATGTTTCATGGTGTAACAAATTTATTAATGTATTCATTTCAATACTAAATATTACATACATTATATGATTATATTTAATCCTTTACTTTTAAGTTTAGAAAACTATAATTTTATTTTACCGGCAAGACAGGTTAATTTCATGAAACACGGCAATGGTGTAGCCATGTTTCCTAACTCAACATTACTGAAATAGTATTTGGAAATAATGTGAGGCTTTATTAATTTACAATACAATATAAAAATTGAGGTACTTTTTCCACATCATAACCTCACAGACAAGAAACTTTAATGTATTTTACAAACATATATTTTGATAAATTATTTATTGTTTCTCTCATTTGCTCCAAATTAATAAATCATTTAATTTCATTCATTAAAATACACTTAATAAATCATTAGTATCAGAAAACTTTTTTACTTGGTGACAGTTCATTAACGGAAATTTATTAAAATAAAATAAACAGAAATGTTTCATGGTATAACAAATTTATTAATGTATTCATTTCAATACTAAATATTACATACATTATATGATTATATTTAATCCTTTACTTTTAAGTTCAGAAAACTAAAATTTTATTTCACCAGCAACACAGGTTAATTTCATGAAACATGGCAATGGTGTAGCCATGTTTCCTAACTCAACATAATTGAAATTGTATTTGGAAATAGGGCGAGGATTCATTAATTTACAATACAATATAAAAATTGAGGTACCTTTTCAACATCATAACCTTACAGACCAGAAACTTTAATAGATTTTACAAGCATATATCGTGATAAACAGAATGAATGAAATTATTTATTGTTTTTTCCAAACTTATTTATGCCTGTTATAAAACATGCAGTTTTTAAAATGGTTAGTATCAATTTTTATCTCTTCATAGTCCTCTTTTATTTCAGACATATTTGAATTATAGAAGCATTAACATTCTTATCTTTACTTACTGAAACAGTTCTTTTGCTCATTCTATAGAATTTTATAAATAGAAAGTGCATTATGGAAAACTATAGATTTCAATTTTCTTATTAACATAAAATCCATTACTATAATTTTACAATAATGAAAGCAAAGTTTGTTTATTACTTCACAATCAAACACATATTGTTGATTTTAATGTACTAGCAAGAAGAATAGTTGATTCATCAAATGTACAGCCAAGAGAATTTGTTCTATAGATTTTTGATGTCGAAGAGAAGAATGAAAATAGATTTATCAAGGTCAGGCTTTGAGTTTAAGAAAAATTATAATGTAAAAAACAATATTACTATTTTAAAATAATAGCACCCGAGCTTTCATTAATGATAGATTTCATCAAGCCTTAAATATATTACCAACAAGAATTATACTGCCCGTCAACGTTAATCAATAAAAAAGTAACATTTTTTAAATAATGCTATAAATACTCTNCTCAGTATTAACAGCATTTTCAGCAAAACCATACAAAGCTTTGCCCTTGTAAGAAATTGCAGGTTTTACATGTACTTCATCAATTAATAAGCTTACAGTTTTCTCATGAGCTAAAAGGCTTTGGCATTTTTTTGTTAAGTAACTAACATTATTAACATTGTTTGTAGATGGTGATAAGCTGAGGAAGGAAGTTAATCGTTTTAGATGTCTAATAGATGGCAAATAAATTATCTGGCTTTGACGAAGCTCTTCGTAGCAGGCAGCCGATTTAATGTACAAAGAATAGGCTAGCGTTGTCAAGTGAGGACTATACCTTCGACTATTTGGTGATTTTTTGTGAAGCTTTAACTGCTCCGAAACGAACACCTCAAAAGAAAATTCCTCACATGCTTCTGCTTGCACAAACTGATCCCATACTTCAACAGCGGCAGAATACATATCCTTGGAGGATTCGACATTATTTTCCACAGAAAAATTATAAATAAAACTGCATACATTTTCTAGTTCACTCCATAAACTTACTTTAGTCGAGCTGTTTAAAATATGGTGCAGGTGCTTTTTAAGATCCAAATGATCTTGCATTATGTATATATTTATATTCATATTATCATCAACTATAATACTTTTTAGCACAACTGGAGAAGGATCATAACTCATATAAAGAACAAAAAATTTTGACTCAGCTTGGTAAACAAGCAGATTTTCTCTACGCAAGAAGTTTTCCATCTTTGCAGAAAATTCATTCACAAATTCCTTAAAATTAGAAATCTGATCATCTTTCACAAATGATGAAATCATCTCACTGTCCATTTTGAGTCTTTTTTCATCTCTACTGGATCTCTGAGTAGTTTTTATTTCACTCAAATAAGGGGGACATCCATCAAATATGCATGGATATGCATCTTCAGTTAAAATAGGGCGTTCTCGTTTTATTTTATGAGTGATTCCTTTGGAGTCTGTAAAATCTTCTTCCCTGATGATCATATGATTTTGGAAATGCTTTTCGCACACCACTGAATGTTTAGATGGTGTAAAGTTTTGCCGAGGGATTTTACGTAGCCACAATTTCTTCCTTTCCTCATTTCTAGGAAATTTAAAAACACTGACATACTCGACACTAGCAGCTTTTGATGTATAATTAGACTTGCAAGCAGGCACACAACAACGGTCCGGCATTGCTAACACTAAAATCTTTTAACGATGTTTAAAAACAGTAATAATTGTGAAATTTCAACAATATAAAAATGTAAACAAAACAATAAGAAAGTTTTACAAAAGAAACTCAAAAATTATAACAAGAAATTAGATAATTCGCTCGAAAATGATCGTATTTATCGCACTGTATACATAAGTAAACAACGCGCATTGCAAAGTTGCTGCGGTCGAGATTACACTTGATGGAAGGCGGACGACTAGCTATGAGTCATCAAAGATTCGGCTGTAGCCGTCATGGCCTTCTATCTTCTCGGAGGTTACGCCTCATCACGGATCAATTTAGCAGTCCGACGTAACGAGCATAAATTGCGCAATGGATAAAAAATAAGAAAGATGTTACTACGTTCGGACAACTAAGCTGCGCAGTGGTGGTAAATGCCAAAGAGGTCATTGCATTTGGACTACTAAATAATCAAATTTCTTGTTTATGGTAACCCGTGCTGAGGCCTTCTCTTTACCAGAAGATATTGCTCTAACCCATGATCCGTCCGCCACTGAAGATCTTTTACGTCAGCATTGTGGTCGATGCAAAAAGGAGGCAAAATTCGTATAGACCAGCCGTTGCTGCGATTCAAACCCGGGCAACCTCATTGAGAAGCGAGTGCTCTATTTTCTGACCCACCACGGCTCTTCTGGAGTATATTGAAACATTTCAACTCTTATGACGCGTAGTGGGGTAAATTAGAGTATATTAAAGAGCTGGATAGTGCATAAATTTTTTCTGGAAAGCATTCAAGAGTTAAGAAGAAATTCCGATTAAGATTAATTGAGAGGCCGAGTTTGTTGGAAAAAAATAAAATGCCTTTATGCTTAAAAACCAATTCGTACATCTTCAACCATATATCAATATTAGAAAAAAAATACGAATTATTGGTTTAGTTTATTTGCAAACTTGAAACTGAGAATGAACAGTGTATTTTAAATCTCAAAAACTTCAAATTTTTTGTTGCAATTCTTATATTGTAATTCTTTTGATGTAATATATAAACTCATACTCATTTTCCATATCTGATCCATACTCATGTATAATGTGTACTCCTTATTATTATAAATATTTCCTTTTTAAAATTCTAAGAAACATTCTGATGTGTCTAAATTTAAGATTTTATGAAGGTTGTTAAAATTTTTGTCTCCCTAAAATTACGAATTAACAAAACCATTTTGAGATGACGATACATTCATTTCATATAAAACCTCGAAAATGCCCCAGACAATTATAGATTGTGAACCATGAATACTAAGTAGCCAATATCAGATCAAGGTCATGTATGACATGGATTTATTCAACATATAGCACTTGATAAAGAAAAAAGCAATAATGATTGGTGGGCACGCCTGTTTCGAACTATTTTATAACCACAAGTGAACCTTTATTGAGAAATAATTATTTATGATGTGAATGACCTTAATGCTATTAATAGTATACCATCTTAAAATATAATCAATCGAAATATGTTGAAAGCAAAAAACAATTTTTAAGCAATTTGCAATTTTTGTAGATTCTCATAAAATTAACTGAACTTAAGTAGATTTTTAGATAAAAAAAAATTTTAAAAACACTCATTAAAACACCATCATAAGATGACCTTGATACTAGAACTGAATTCTAAATTCAGTGTCTTATTTTAAATTCAGCTTCAATTTTAATTTCAATAAAAATTAAATTTAAATAAATAAAAATAAAATTTAAATAAATAAAAATAAAATTTAAATAAATAAAAATAAAATTTAACTAAAAATAAAATTTAAATAAAAATAAAATTTTAAATAAATAAAAATAAAATTTAAATAAATTAAAATTAAATTTAATTTAAATAAAAATAAAATTTTAATTTAAATAAAAATTTAATAAAATTGATCTCTGAAATAAAAAACATAAAAATATAAGGTAATTTTAATACATTTTTTAAATATATTTAGTAAAAAAATGACATTTTTATTTATATTTTTTACATTTAATTATGGGATTTCCATTAATTCAAATTATATTAGTGTTCGATTGTTACTAACATTATTTGGATTGATTTAAACATTTTGTAAGTTATTAGTAGGTCAAAAATTAAACCATTCAAATCAAAAACATCTAAGTTGTTTTAAAAAATTAGCAATTAGGAGTTACTAAATTAACACTTTGAAATTTCGAACAAACCGACGCCAGTATATATCTCTAAGTTTGAATTAGTCTTCTGCTATACAAAGGGAAACTGAAAAGCAGAGATATTGGAATAACACACTGACTGACAAACTCTCAAGTTACGTTTTTTCTTTTAAGGCATTCGTTTTTTTTTTAATTTTTATTTGCGAAAAGACATATTCATAATTTATGTGTTAGTTACATAAAAATTTATCTGTAAAATTAATTTTTTTGTTGTGAAGATCATTATGATTTTTATCATTTATTTAGCTAAATGTTGGGATTAAAAAAGTAAATAATTTTCATTGCTTCACAATTGCAGTGAATAAAACAAAATAACTACACTGAAAAAAAATTCTGATCAAATTACGATATAAAGTACCGGCACTTTGGTGCTTCATCCGTAAAATGCCTTACTGTAATTAACAGAAATATTTGCTTAATTTGATTGATTCAGTGACTTTACGGTAATTCTTACAGTAAAAATTACGGAATTAATAATTACGATACGATATAGCTTATATACGATGTAGCACAGAGCTTATTTTGCTATATGTTAGGAATAGAAAAGTAAAGAATTTTCATTGCTTCACGATTGCAGTGAATAAAACAAAATAACTACTTTGAAAAACATTCCGGATCAAATTACGATGTAAACTAGGTGCTTCATCCGAAAAAGCCATTTCAACCGTAAAATATTATATCATAATTTTTACAGAAATATTTATTTAATTAAAGTGATTTAGTGATTTTGAGGTAATTACTACTGTAAAATTCATGGAATTAAAATTACTGCACAATGTAGAGCTTTCTTTATAAACACTCAAATCAAAAACCATTAGATTTAAAAATACACCACTCGTAGATTTAAAAATACACACGTAGATTTAATTTTTTTCATTATGAAGATCATTATGATTTTTATCGTTTATTTAGCTAAATGTCAGGATTAGAAAAGTGAAGAATTTCCATTGCTTCGCGATTGCAGTGAATAATAAAAAAAATAATTGCACTGAAAACAATTCCGGATCAAATTACGATATACACTAGGTGACACTGACACTTAGGTGCTTCATCCGTAAAATCCATTTTTGCCGTAAAATATCATGCCATAATTTTTACATATTTTTTTTAATTAGAGTGATTCAGTCATTTTACGATATCTATTATTTTAAAAATTACTGTACAATGTAGAACTTTCTTTATAAACATTTAACCAAAAAGCATTGGATTTAGAAATACACTCTAAAAATAAACTTGTTAGGGAGAGCCAAGAACTACGGGTTTTGGCCATCCCAACCCGTGTTACGCTATAGCTTCACACAACTTGCAATTTATCTAATGTAGCATAGAACTTAAGTAGACAAGGAATATTGAGTTGCTGATTCGAAACAATTTCAAAAAAATGACTCATTCGAAAAACGCCAGCGTAATTTTTAATAAAATACAAAAAGTAAACAAAACGTGTTAAGTAGCTAGTTAAAATAATTGGGACAAATTTTCCTTTTTCAACTATCCGGATAGTCTCTTCCATAAATTCCAAAAAACAGGAGTGATGAATTATCCTTGTTTTGATAGTTCATTTGTACATTTCCGTCATAACTCCATTTATCTTTACTAGTGAGTCTTATATTAGCATCTATAGAAAATGGATACATATATTTATTAAAAAATGTCCCCATAAGTTTTACCTCTTCAAATACTGTCTCTGATTTCATATAAAAACTTGAACAATCTTTACCATTCTCTGACTTGCAACGAGCTAGGAAACAAATTTGATTACTGTAGTGAACAATCTTGTATGCATCAAAATCACTCGCTTGGACGGCTATAAAATATTCTTCATTCATGGATCGAGCTTTGTAGGTCACAGAACAACAAAACGTGTTTACACAAAGGTCAATTTTGCCTTCTGTCTTATTAAGCCTTTGAAATTTGTAATCAGTAAGATTCATAGAATTACACCTGTAATCTTTGGACTCATCTTTGGGAGGGCCAACAACGTCTATCTCACACTGATCCTCCAATACTATGTCATCTTCGACATTATCCACAACAAATGTTCCATTTACCATTTTGAAACGCTTTCGATTTAAATCTCCTGCATTCACCTTAAGGCTTTTGGGTTGCTTGGGGACATCGGAGATTAAGAGCCTGGAATGTCCATCTGGTTGATGCGTCGAGATTAAAGCTCCACTGTGTCCTGAATATATACCACTTCCTAAAGACCCTGTACCAGGAACATGACCATTAGCTGCCAGAACATTGATACGATTAGAATAGGCATAATATTGCTGGACCACAGTAGCAAACTGATGTATTGGTGTGTGGTCGTACCAAAAATAAGGATAGGCCAAGTTATTAACATTAAGCTGCTCGATATCTTCTAAAGCTTCTTTAAAAAGCATATCAAAGCAGACAATAGTCGTAAAATTCCCAAAGTCTGTATCAAAAAAGCCATTATAAGGACATTTAGATGGATTCATTGATGGCTCAAAATATAGATGCTTTTTGTAGTATCTCGCTATTAATTTACCTGCTCTGTTGAATACAACATTGGTATTATAAAGATAGATTCCATCTGATGGACATTCGCTTTTATCTGAACAATTTAACGTTGCATTTCTGTCTTTACCTCCGCCATTTTTGCACATCTTGTAATCAACTAGATTAGCCACAATGTATAGGTTGTTAGATTTAGCCATGCAACTGAGGTTTCTAAGAAGGAAATGATTCTTAAACACGTCTTTTTGATCACACGGATTATAGTTACCATAAGTAGGGTCCGGTATATCGCTGGCGATTGAACCTATTAATGCTGAACGATGTTCGGTGTAATCATCGCTGTCAAAAAATAAGATATCTTCTGGAAACACAATTATATCAACCTCCTAAAAATGAGCAAGATTTAGTTAAGATCATTTAAAAAAACAATATTATGAAACGATTAAAAATAAAGCAAGCATCAGTTATTAATAATAATTTAACACAGTTAAAGAAAAAATATTAGAAGATTTTTTTTTTTAAAAATACAGACTTTCAGTTGTTTTTCATTATTATTATTTTATTAGAAATCATATGATTATTGAAGAAATTTGATTCCTTTTTATTTGAATCATAGCTTTGAGTTTGAATTATTAATCATAATATTTCCATGATATTCTTTAAAGAAAGAGAATTAATGTTGAAATGTTTAAAATATTGTTGAACTATTATTTGATATTTTGGTATTGGTATTTTGTTTTATATTGCTTTATGGTTTTGTTATGGTATTGTTTTATATATCAAAATTATCTGTGGTGCAATACCTATCGATTTCGGTGTTGAAAAATTCTAAAAGGTTTTGAATTAATTTAAGTTAATCCCAAATCAAGAGTTTATACACATTTTAAAGGTTGTAGTTAAATCTTAACTCTAATAATTGAGAAAGCTACACCAAAATTGTTTGCTACTTCCATGAAATATTTTCTCCAAATTTGGCGTCGGAGCATCATATTGGAAACTGTCAAACGACCGAATTTTTTTGTTTAGAATTTGTGCCTGAGAAGGTAAACGATTGATCTCTACGCTCGCGATTCTAAGAATTCTGCAGAAACAGAAGTAAATTTCTTTTAAATGCATGCATGTTTCCAGTTGTATGACAAAGATATTTATATTCTCATAAGAAAATGTACATAAATCTTCTAATTACAATAAATAATTTTATAATACTTAGCTTCTATCCGCTTCAATGTTTTATGCTTGTGTAAATGTTTGATTAACAAACTAATTTTATTTCAAGAAATAGTGTATCCATGCATCCTGAGTTAATGATTGAGTTCCATTCTATTGTAAAAATAATTTTACTTATTCTTGTGTGTATCTTATTTGACTGCAATTATAAATTTTAGTGTTACTGAAGAATAAAAATGGTGGCAGCTACTTTAGACGAAGTGTAAAAGAAAGTTCTTGGTATAGAACTTAGATTCTAACTTGGTATAGAGCTTAGATACTAACTTAGATTCATAGTTAAGTATGGTGTTTCACTGCACCTCACTGATGTAAAGTAGTTGCCACCATTTTTGAAATGAGACTTCACTCTTGAAAAAAAAAACTTACATTTCCTCCAGCAATATTTGCAGCGAGTTGATATGTTTCCAAATTCTTTTCAACCACAGCTTTTATCGATATTGATGGATCTGAATAAGGAATGGCTTCCAATACTGCTGCTCTATAATAGTTCTGATCCTTCGTTTGCCTTAATTTTGGCAATAAATTCATTGTCAGATAGGTGAGAATAATTACTGAAGCACATATTCCTAAAATAACTGAAATGAGAACTAAAGTTTAGAATTTTTATGAAATGAGATATCATCGCAAGTCACAAGAAAAAAGTTAAAATATTTATGAAAAATATTGCATTATTTCATTTTTGTGGCATTCCTGCCATGGCCGTTAAAGGATAGAGCCCATAAAAGAGAGACTAGGTGCTTGGCCATGGTGAAGTGGTATGTTTACACACCTATGATTCTTTTTACTTACGTCAGTTCCAGCATAACGATAAAATATATGAAGTTCTATATAATAAATAAAATAAATTATATATTAATTTATAATAATGATATATTAATGATTTATAATAATTTAATTTTTTTATTATAATTTGTTGCTCTTCCTGTTGACTTTATATTATGAGATTATGATAAGAGGTTCAATTCATCAAAAGAAATAATAACTATTCTCAGTATCATTCAGCTTGAAAATGATTGCATTGATGAGGGTCAATATTCAATGCAACATATAATTTACCAGCTTCAAGCATTTTCTTCAAAAGCATATCTACATGTAAAATAAACACATTGCTTCACATTACGTAGTCCTCACATGTCATTCACATGTTTATTGAACTTATCCCACATGGCGGATAAGAAATTATTAAATTTAAAAGACCATGAAAACAATTCTTTTTTTGAGCTGTTAGTTGTTTTATAAGCCGATAAAATGTATTGATATTATCTTTCAAAAAAAAAAATTATCTGAAACTTGTATTTAAAAATCAGCAATTAAATATTTTATCAATTTTTAGCCACTAAACATAAATTTTTTTATTGACCAAATTTTTGTACCCTATCAAAAAGGATTCTGGGTTATAAGCGAGATACGCAATGTCCTTGATTTAATATCATAGATTAGTTTAAGGAACATTTTAATTTAAAAATGAAACAATGCAAATAAAAAAAAATTGTTAATTATCCTCGTATTTTATTAACTTTGTTCCATCCCTTTTCCGTTATTTAAATCTTTGAGTTTTACATCATTTAAAAACAATTACTCTCCTGAAAAATAATGGCTAAATATTGAACCATAAATTTCGGATTTCAAATTTATTGCAACATTCAAAAGGTACTAAATTAAACAAGTTACCATTGAAAATTAGCTGTATCATTGTGTAATTGAAAATCTGCATCATGATACTTTGGTAAAACTTTGCAACTTATTAAATTTTTGGCATTTCCATTTGAACATTGGGCATCGAACATTTTTATGCTTTAAAAAAATTATTTCTATCAATAAAAAAAGCTTGTAACCCTTTATACACAGAAAAAAAATTTTGAATACGGGTTATTCAAAAATTTAGACCCAATTTAATTAATTTTTACTTCAGGAAATATAAATTACAATTAAATACATAACATGTGAACAGTCTACATGCCAGAAGAACGAGATTCCCAAGTTTTGTTTACCATTGTTTGGATATTTTGCGTAAATCACCACTAGTGTGTCCAGTTGAGTGAAAGCTATGGTCATTTCGCATGTGTGGTTACTTCCTAAAGAAGGTCTACTGAAGATTTTTTCACCGAAGTCAAGCATCACTGGCCACGGTCAGTGTGCGGTTTGGATCAATCTGCGTAAGGACCGAGGGTGTGCGGTATTGTTCCTCGCTAAACTGTTCTATCGCAAAGTTCTCGACTTCGCATGCAGATCATCGGGCTACCAAAGCAGGGGTGCCATCCCCTCTGCAGAGGATCAGAATTGTGATGGTATGTCTTCGGATCATCCTCATAGATGTTTCCCAGACCGTCGCCAATAGCCCATTGCGCAGCTCTAGTGCTACGTAAATGAACTACAACAACTAAACATTTTTAACCAGAGATTAAAACAATTCTGACTTCCTGTTGTCATTAGAATGTAGATTGCTCTCATACGCAGTTTAAATTTCATTAAACTCAAACCAATTAAATTGGCACAATCTTTTTGGATATTACTTTTTAGTTTTTTATTGAAAAAAAGTTTAATTTTACGTAATAATAATATTTAAAATTGATATATCAATAAATATTTAAATTTATAAATGAATTTAATAAATTTTTAAGACACAATTGTTTTTCAAAATATACGTACAAATGGCTCCCTTATAGTCCCTTAAGTCACACAGCTTCATAATGTTTTTGAGATTCCTAATGAAACGAATGTTTACTTTAAAATTTACTGATTTCTAAGTGTAACAAACACACTTCATAACAATGTGTATCCCTCGTTTAAAGAGATAATATTGAGTAGCAATGATCTTATCAACGGCGTGATAAATCAGAAATTGCTTCTCTTTTATCCTCTTATCTGATTAAATTTTTTTTCAATAATAGAGTCATACCTGCCTCATCACAATGCAATCAATGTTTACGGTGGAAATAAATTATAGAATAATATACACTCTATATTCTATGTTATAGAATAATGTAAGAACACTTTAACCTTAAACGTGATCACTCATTGAGTATTTTAAAAATATGTAATAATATTTTTTTGACAATTTTGAAAATATACCTTTGAGAAAAATTATAAAAAGAGCTTATAATAACATGGTATCTTGGGAGTTTCATCCGATTTTAGAGGCACCTGGTTTTCACCCTCCCCCACCCCACCCTTCTAAGAAGCTGATTCTTTGATGAATGAGATTGCGATTATGAATGAGATCTCTATAAATTTGTAAACACTTAATGCCGCATTTACAATTAATGCAAAATGACAATTAACTCTTAATTATACCTAATCCTTTAATTTTCTTAAATTGGTCTTCTTAATTAATTAATATTAATTTTAATTCTTAATTAAGTAATATTAATTTTCTTTTTTTAATATAGCAGCTTGTATTTATTTTAACTTTCTGCTTGACCTTCCTCATGGTCAACACGGTCATTGTCCTTCCTGTGGGGAGACTGTAACACTTAATTTAAAGCTTTATTTTTCAAAAAACGTGTTAAAAAAGGCTTTTGAAAGTTTGTAAAATATATCGTTGAGATATATCCTAGACATATTACAGTCGTAAAAATATAGCGTTTATCTATCTATCTATCTATCTATTTATATATATATATATATATATATATATATATATATATATATATATATATTATTATATATATATATATATATATATATATATATATATATATATATATATATATATATATATATATATATATATATATATATATATATATATATATATATATATATATATATATATATATATATATATATATATATATATATATATATATATATATATATATATATATATATATATATATATATATATATATATATATATATATATATATATATATATATATATATATATATATATATATATATATATATATATATATATATATATATATATATATATATATATATATATATATATATATATATATATATATATATATATATATATATATATATATATATATATATATATATATATATATATATATATATATATATATATATATATATATATATATATATATATATATATATATATATATATATATATATATATATATATATATATATATATATATATATATATATATATATATATATATATATATATATATATATATATATATATATATATATATATATATATATATATATATATATATATATATATATATATATATATATATATATATATATATATATATATATATATATATATATATATATATATATATATATATATATATATATATATATATATATATATATATATATATATATATATATATATATATATATATATATATATATATATATATATATATATATATATATATATATATATATATATATATATATATATATATATATATATATATATATATATATATATATATATATATATATATATATATATATATATATATATATATATATATATATATATATATATATATATATATATATATATATATATATATATATATATATATATATATATATATATATATATATATATATATATATATATATATATATATATATATATATATATATATATATATATATATATATATATATATATATATATATATATATATATATATATATATATATATATATATATATATATATATATATATATATATATATATATATATATATATATATATATATATATATATATATATATATATATATATATATATATATATATATATATATATATATATATATATATATATATATATATATATATATATATATATATATATATATATATATATATATATATATATATATATATATATATATATATATATATATATATATANATATATTTTATTTAGTTGTCTTTTGAGCAGTGTTAAAAAAATGAATTATACGTTATTTATTTGGATTTATTTTGTTATGTGGCCTTAAGTAATAATTTAAGTCTTGTTGAATAGTTAGTCACACATTAAGTATTTATTTAGAATATTTTTGTGCTTTTATAGAAATATAACTCAGTCGCGAAGTAATTACGAAGTAAAAAGATTTATTTTTGATTATTTCCGAAATGGCTGTGGAAGTTTTAAACATAAGCGGTGCTTTGGTGTCGCAGCCATCATACCAATTATTGATGAAGGAGTTTTCATTTTAGAAAAATGGAATATATATATTTATTATATACGATGCTCAAGTTATTGCTCAAGAGGTTCGTGAGGAGGTAGAACAACATGTAATAGTACATTGGGAGAGGTTTATTTTCTATCTTACTATACGACAGAGAGGGAAATAATTTTAATATTTCTGCTGCCTTCTACGCTGAAATATCTCAAACTCAAACTTACGATGATTTTTAAGATTTAGTGACTGTCAAACAGATTTTAAATTTTAGTTAAAATTCAACACGTAAAGTACTGTGACAACATCAGGGAAATCTTTTGAAAATAGTTCGAATTTAAATCAAAGTACTTCCGTACAGGCAAGAGCTGTACGATAAAAAAAAGCTTAGATTAATATATTGTTTAAAATTAATAAAAGTGCTGGAATTGAA